GTGCAGCAGCCTCGTTGGAGCTGTGGCTGTGTGCAGTGTCCTCACTGGGAGCTGTGGCTGTGTGCAGTGTCCTCACTGGGAGCTGTGGCTGTGTGCAGCGGCCTCGTTGGAGCTGTGGCTGTGTGCAGCGGCCTCGTTGGAGCTGTGGATGTGTGCAGTGGCCTCCCTAGGAGCTGTGGCTGTGTGCAGTGGCCTCGTTGGAGCTGTGGCTGTGTGCAGCAGCCTCGTTGGAGCTGTGGATGTGTGCAGCAGCCTCGTTGGAGCTGTGGATGTGTGCAGCAGCCTCGTTGGAGCTGTGGCTGTGTGCAGTGGCCTCACTGGGAGCTGTGGCTGTGTGCAGTGGCCTCGTTGGAGCTGTGGCTGTGTGCAGTGGCCTCGTTGGAGCTGTGGCTGTGTGCAGTGGCCTCACTGGGAGCTGTGGCTGTGTGCAGTGGCCTCGTTGGGAGCTGTGGATGTGTTCAGTGGCCTCGTTGGAGCTGTGGCTGTGTGCAGCAGCCTCCCTAGGAGCTGTGGCTGTGTGCAGGGGCACGCTGGCTGCCCGCTCACGTGGCAGTGACACGCTGATCCTCGTCGCTGCTGCCGTGCCTCTGTCGCGTGCTCGAGCGTGGCTGGGTGGCATCCCGCATCAGCAGGGCCGGAGGCTGACAGGCGTGTGGGGAAGGGCAGACAAGGGTTTCTGCAGTGTGACAGTCCACACATGTCCAGTCAGCTCTGTCTGAACTATCAGGCTGTGTGGTTCTCCTTCCCCACAAGAGCAGGCAGCTCCTGTGCAGCTCCATTGGGCTTGGCTACAGCCGACTCCAAAAATAACTTAGTTAGGGATCAACTGCAATGTGGATAAGCCGTATCCCACCACCCCAGGCCACAGCCCCCCATCCAGTTGCATCCTCAGCGTGACTCTCAGGTTCCCCTTGTGCAGCAGGCAGGGCACAATGAGGGGCCTGTTCCTCCTGGCCCCTCCACTCCCCCGGGCTGCCACAACGCACAGGTCCGGTGTCTGCGCGCTCGGACGGAGCCAGGTGCTCATCAGTGGGGTTCGGAGGAAGCTTAATGCACCGTGGCTGCACACTGAGCAGCTTTCCCGGGGCTTCCGCCCTCCCCCTTGCAAACAGCTTTGTGCATTTAGGCTTTTTTTTTTAAATAAAGTCTAACATGTTTAATCATCTTTTCATAAGCTGTCAGCTTGCCGCGCGCCAAAGCAGAGCAGCGCGCTCTGCGCCGGCTCCCAGCAAAGCAAATGTGCCTGGAGAAATCCTGCTGCTGGGAGCGTGCCACAGGGGCTCAGGAGCTGTGAACTTTCCTCTGGGTCTGGGCTTCATCAAAAAATCAGTTTTTGAAAGTTATGGATTTTTCACTGAATTTGAAACAGATCTTATTTTGCACAGCATCTTTGCTCCAGTGTTTCATAATTCAGCCTTGCATCAGCAGTGCTGGAAAATTCAGTATACTGGAAAACTCCAAATACATCAAAAGCAAAACAAAGCGAGTCCTAGGAAAACATGGGAATGTGCCTGTCCTCCACCCTGTAGGTTCCCTGCAGGAACAGGGGGTGGGCACAGCTCAAGTCAGGGCCTAGAGAGCCGGAGAAGTCAGAGCTGTGTCCCTGTGTACCTGTCTGTGGTGGAATGGGGAGATTATGTGTCTAACAGCACTGGAGGAGTGTGTGTGATGGAAAAGGGCATTTTTCTGCTGAGAGTGGAAGAAGCTACTGGTTTGGGCATGATGGAGAGGAGCTGCTTCTCTTCCCTTTCCATTCATACAGGCTGGGTGATGCTGGGGCACCTTCTGGCCGAAGTTGTCTTCCAGGATGTTTTTTGTGGACTAAGCACCCTGAACAAGGAATTTCCTTTCCTACTGTAACTGTGGAGACTGCTTGGTTTTACTCTCCACGCACTAACTGCCTCTTGGAGAAGCATCCCAAGGCTGCCCTTGCCATCATCCCTTGAAATGCAGGCTGCTGCATTGCCCAGTCCTTGTCTTCCCACAGACCTGGTGCTGCTGGCCAGGATATTTCCACTGGGGAAGCAAACATTCTCATCTCCCTGTCCAAGTGACTGATAGGGCTGAGGGCTAGAAGTGGATCTGAATGGATCCCTCATTTTCCTGGGAAGGATGTCCATGCTTCACCTGGTCCTCCTCACACAGAAAGCCCTTCCTGAGGAACCACTGGCTCAGGGGTTTAATGCTGGAGGTTAATAATAATCACACCAGGCAGCACATCATTGCACCGTATCTGGTTGAGAGATTTACAAGTGAAACTCGTGGCGGAGGAAGAAATTGCCTCAATCACTCGGAGTAATGGCACATGGAGAGGCACTTGGGCGTGACTGCTACTTAACACGGAGCCCAGCTTGGCTTCATTTAGCTGCTGGTGCCTTTCTAATAAACACGTTACACGACAAGGTGGGGATTAAGATCAGAAAAGTAAATAAATTGGAAACTGATGGGGAGAGATGGGAGGGAAATGGAAGGTACCGGGAGGAGTGACAAGGGATTGACTCCCATGCCAGGACATGGGGAAATGACCCTGAAAGCCGTGGCTGTAGCTTTCCAAGCATCTCTGTGGGTCTCGCCTGTGGCCTGCAGGTGTTGGGCAGCCCCATGGCCGGGGTATGTGGGATGTCCCTGCTCAGGGTCACCAAGCTGGTCTCTGCCTTCAGCAAACAGCGGCTGTGGGAAGTTGATGTCTTAAACAATTCAGTAGCTTTTACTATATGTATTAGAGAGCAACAAAAAGTGCAACGCACCAGTTGACAGGAAGGACTGGGGGGTTAATTTTCAGGATGCTGCCTGGGAATTTAGCCGTGGGATTTCCATTATTGCTAATGGGACTCATGCAGCTTAATTTCATGTGAACTACACTAAAAACATACCCCTAACTGCCTGCAAAATTTCAGTCCTGAAATCAAGCCTTTTAAAAGTTAGAGAAGGGTAAACAAACACCTGAAACCACAGTGTCTCACTATTTCCCCCTTTCAGCTGTTTAGATTTTAAAGTCTGGAAGAGGGAGGAACTCAAGCAGTTTGAGACAATTAAAAACCCCCATCCTGCAGGCACGCTGGCTGCCTGTGCAGTGCATCCCTCCTCTCTGCCAATTACAGCAGCAGAGTTATAACCCCCGAAAAAATAGGAGTAAGCTGATGCCTTACCCTTAACTATAGTACGGCGAGAACGGCGTTATCACACGCGTCTAATAACCCGCGCAGCGCCGCCGTGCATCGTGAGGCCTCCGTTATTAGGCTGTTCTCGTTAAATGACTGCTATCATCTGGTCCCAAAGTACATTAAATCCCATTATAATTATAAACACACTTCCCCATAACGTTCTCCTTAGATTACATTTGCGCTTCTTTACCCCAAGGGTATCTTTGTACTAATGCCGTCCGCGTTTGTTGTTTTAGCTGAAGACACCGGGCCCTGAGCTGGCTGTGTTGTGCCACGGGTGCGGCAGGGAGGGAAGAAGGGAGCGCTGTGCGGCTGCCACCCTGCCCCGAGGATTTCAGCGGTCTCTGGGTGCGCTGAGCGTGGGCACTGCCAAGGAGCTGAGGCACGTCCTCGGTCGAGGATGCTCAGGGCACGCAGCGCTCCCTCGGTGCGTGGCCCGCTGTTCGTGCCGCTGCCTGGCGCTGCTGTCGGTGTCACGGTGTGGCTGGCGGCTCCCCGTGTGTTTCGCTCCCTTCCCGAAGGCGGCCCTTGCGGCAGAGCCCCTGGCCCGTCCTGGGGTGCGGGCACCCGCCACATCCCTGCATACAAGCGGTGCCGTCACGGGGTCAGTATTTTATCGCGGAGGGGGGGGGGGGGGGAGGTGGGGGGGAAAGAAAAACCAGCTTCGTCGGGGCGACAACGTGCTGGGTGTCACATCATGTCACAAGCACCGCAGCTCCCCGTCGGAATCCGCCACCGGACCCCAAAGTGGGCTCTGAGGTTGGTTTTTACCGTCTCCACCCCCGGGGCCGGGGGTCCGCCCAGGCGCGGCGCGGGGGGCGGCTTTGTCTGGCGCGGGCGCGGCGGTGGCGCAGCCCGTCGGGGCGGTGGGCGCAGCCCGTCGGGGCGCGCAGCCCCGCTCGCCGCGGGGCCCGGTGCCGTTCCCCGGTGCCGCCGGGCTTCCGGGTGCCGGGCTCCCCGCCGCCGCCTCCGGCTCCTCCATGTTTGTTGTCGGCAGCGCTGTCCAGCCGCCGCCGCTCGCTCCCCGCAAGGTGCGGGGCTGCGCGGGGCGGGGCGGGCCCGGGCGGGGGCGCCCGCACTCAGCTCGGCGCGGGCGGGGGGCGCGGGCGGAGGGCGGGGGGCGGTGGGTGGCGGTGGGTGGGGGCGGCCTGACGCGGGCGCGGGGCGGCCCGTGGGCCGGCGCCGCCGTGATTTGCTGCGCGGCGCGGCGAGCGGCGGCGGCGGCGATGAGAGCGGGCAGTGCGAACTGCCGGAGCAGCCGCCGGCCGCCGTGAGTGCGGGCGAGGGGGGGCGGCCCCGGGACCCCCCGCGCCCCCCGCCCCGGCACCGCCGTGGGGCTGCGGCTCCGCCGCTTCGCCGCGCACCTGATGGGGCCGCGCTGCCGGCGGGACGGGGCAGCCGGAGCCGGAGCCGGGCGGCGGCGGGGGATGCGCACCTTCCTCTCCCTTCCCTCCCTTGCCTTCCCCGGCCGGCGGTAGCGGGAACGCGGCTCCGGCAGCTGCGGATCCGCCGAGCAGCGCGGAAACTTTTGGGCGAGTCGCTGCCGGGCTGCGGGCTAACTTCCCTCTCCCTCCCCGCTCCCTTCTCCCCACTCCCTTCTACTCCCTGCTCCCTTCTCCTCTCCTTTCTCCCCCCGGCTTTCCTCTCGCCCCCTCCTTTTTTCTCTTTTTTCCCCTTTTCTCTCTCTTTCGTCTCATCCCTCCCCGCTCCCCCTTTCCCGCTCCACTCTGCTCCTCTCCCCCTCCGCCTTTTGTTTTCGCAGATAGTCGGCACACAAAGCTGGTCCCAGATTTGAGCGACGGCGAGACACCCTGATGTGTGAGCCTGGGGCGCGCCATGGATCTGACTAAGATGGGGCTGATCCAGCTGCAGAACCCCTGCCACCCCACCGGGCTGCTGCACAAAGCCAACCAGATGCGCCTGGCGGGGACGCTGTGCGACGTGGTCATCATGGTGGACAGCCAGGAGTTCCACGCGCACCGGACCGTGCTGGCCTGCACCAGCAAGATGTTCGAGATCCTCTTCCACCGCAACAGCCAGCACTACACCCTGGACTTCCTCTCGCCAAAGACGTTCCAGCAGATCCTGGAGTACGCGTACACTGCCACCCTACAAGCCAAGGTTGAGGACCTGGATGACCTGCTCTATGCTGCCGAGATCCTGGAAATTGAGTACCTGGAGGAGCAGTGCCTGAAGATCCTGGAGACTATACAGGCCTCCGAGGACAATGACACCGAGGTCGCCATGGCTGACGGAGGTGCCGCCGCCACCACTGAGGAGGAGGAGGAGAAGAAGTCGAGGTACATCAAGGGCCTCTTCATCTCCAAGCCCACTGGTGAGGAGGGTGGCTATGCTGGCATGGCCAGCCAGAGTCTGCTGGCAGCCACAGTGGAGCAGAGCCCCTCTGCCTCCGCATCCTACTGCTCCCTCTCTTCCATGAGCCCCACCAAGGCGGCGGTGGACAGCTTGATGACCATCGGGCAGTCACTGCTGCAGAGCGCCCTGCCGCCCAGCGCCCCCGAGGACTCACGCTCTGCCACCACCCGCCGCCCCTCTGGCCTCGCCGAAGTCAAAACTGAAGCGATGCAGGTGGATGAGGCCTCCAGCCATGACAGCCCCCGGACAGCCGAGCCCGGTGCCTCCAGTGGGGAGAAGCCTGACGAGAAGGGCAAGGAAGGACCTGGCACCCCGACCCGCAGCAGTGTCATCACCAGTGCCCGTGAACTGCACTACACCCGTGAGGAGGGTGCCGAGCCACCCCCTGAGCCTGGCCAGGGGCTGCCGCTGGGGCCGGAGCCATGCGCCGCTGCCCCAGGAGAGAAGCCCTTGGGCATCTACTCGCTGCTGCCGAACCACAAGACTGAGCCGGTGCTCGGCGTGCCGCCCACTGCGGCGTCCGCCCTGCACGTGCAGCCGGCCCTGGCTGTCTCCATGGACTTCAGCGCCTATGGTGGGCTGCTGCCCCAGGGCTTCATCCAGCGGGAGCTGTTCAGCAAGCTTGGGGAGCTGGCAGCCGGCATGAAGACAGAGAGCAGAGCCCTGGGTGAGCAGTGCAGCGTGTGTGGGGCAGAGCTGCCGGACAACGAGACCCTCGAGCAGCACAGGTGAGTGCGAGGCCGTGCCGTGGCATGCTGCACCGGGCAGCCGGGATCTCACCAGAGGGTTCCAGTTTCTGGCTGAGTGTCAAACGTGCTGGTGCAAAGTTTCCATCACGTACCCCAAAACCAGTTTGTGGAGTAGCATTCTCAGAGGGATGGCTGTTGCAGCTCCCCCAGGTCTGGTTACCATGCCAGAAGGTTCCTTCCAGTGAGTGCTGGCTGAGGACGGCCCGGATGAGCTGGGGCCGTCGGTGTTTCCTGCGAGCATAGCCACCACCAGTTTCCCTGGCTGGCATTAACCAAGCAGCTCACAGTTGCTACCCTTTGAGTTTAGGGATCTGCGTGTGGGGAGATGCAGTGGGGACAGGCAGCACTCGCCCACTCTGCTTGAGAGCTGGTCCCCCCTGTGCCAGTGCCGGGGCACGCCAGCGCGGGCAGTGGTGGCAACATGTGGTGACTTGCCAGCCTGGGGGGGTTTGTGCCGCTCAGCTTTCCGGTTTATGAAACACACTTCGCAGAAAGTGGCGCGGGGGTCAGGCTGGGTAACGCCGGGGCGAGCGCAGAGGGCTCGGGCTGCCGCAGAGCCGCGGGTCTGTCCCTGCGGGGAAGGTGAAGGGCTGAACCTCCAGTGGCTGCAGATGCGGCTGCGGGGCTCCCCTGCCCGGGGTGGGGGTCCGTGCTCGCTCCCAGCCCCGCACCCGGGGCTCGCTGCGGGCTGGGAGCGGGGTGGTGGTTCCTGACACGTGAGCTCAGTGCTCCGCTGTTTATTGCCTCCTGCTCGTGGTTCAGGGACCAGGGCTTGTTCCCTCATTTGGCTGGGGAAGGGAGCCACGTTAATTACCACACCAAAATCGGCGTCGCCAGTCAGATCCCATGGCTCTGAACGTGCTGCTCTGACCCCCGCTGTGGCTGCAGCCCCGCGACAGGGCAGCAGCGTCCCGCCTAGGGAAGACATCAGCGGCATGCTGCCGTAGCATCTCCCTGCCTCCCCTGGCTGCGCACCCTGTCAGATTTTTAATGAATCAACAGGTTAATTAGTCCTGAGGCACCCAGGGCTCCGGGGCCGGTGTCCGTGCCGGCACTGCCTCCGGCGGGGCGGTCGGTGCTGCTCGCCGCCCGCCAGCGGGGCGGGATAGCGGCTGCCGGAGCGGCGGCTCCCGGTGCGCTCCGCCCGGACCGCTCCGGCTGCGGGAGCCGAGCTGCCGGGCCGGGATCCTCCGCCCTGCGCGGCCCCGCCAGTGCTGGCAGCATCGCCCCTCGCTCTGCCGCAGGGACCCCTCGAGGCTGCTCGGCTCCGTGCGGGGGCACAGCCGCTCTCGGCTTTGTTCCCGCTCTGGCAAGCGGGAGAGCCGGGCTGGCGTTGGTTACGTCCCCGAAGCCGCCTCGGCCGTGCGGTGATGCAGACCGAACGTCACCGGGAGAGCTGCAGTGAGGGCTCAGGGAGAATTTTAACGTGCCTTTCCGCCACGGTCTCGAGGCTCTCCCTTTCCCCCTCCAAGCCCAGAGCAGCAATTGCTGTGGCCGCAGTGGGGAGCGATGCTGGCACTGTCCGGGGGCTCCTGTGGCCAGCCGTGAATCTGTCCAGAGGGAGGGAGAGCTGCGCCGTCAGATCCTTCCCGCGGGGTCGAGAGACGAGGGAGCCTGGCCCGGCTGTCCAGCACGGCAGCCCCTATTTCACAGCGCCTGCCCGGGCTCAGCCTGCTTTGACAGCCGCGGCTGCAGCCGTAGCTTATTTCTCATTTATTCATGATCTTAACGTGAGGGCTGGGCGCACGCCATGCTCCGCGGGGCTCGGGGTCTGCCTGGAGCATGCAGCTCGGCACTGGCCCCTGCCAGTGGAGCCTTAGAGGCAGTTGTTGAAGCCAGCACCAAACTCTGTTTGTCTGTTCCTGCTTTCTGACCGATTACCTGGCACTGGCAAACTTTGCAGGGTTAGCCAAATCCTTTGAGCCGTGTTTAAACTGATCTGTAAGACCGTCCGTGTTGAAAGGCATTGGGTAACAGTCCAATGAACTCACTCCCCGGCCCCCAAAGTCTAAATCCCAGGCGGTTTGTGTGTAGACAGGGTCTCATGTGGCTTTTTTATAGTGTTTGCTTTCTAATACGTTGTGAGAATTGCCATTTGGGGAGGATTTGTGGGATCCTATTGTATTCATGGAGCTGTTAAACAGCATCTGCGCTGGGCTGGGATCTGCAGCTCTGCCGGAGCAGCTCTGGTGGCAGCTGCACTGTGCTGGCTGCGGGCTCCTCTTCTCTCCGCTGCCGGGTGGTGAGGGGCCGGGGGTCTGCGCTGGGGCCTGGGCAGCACCTCCCCAGCGCTGGAGGGGGCAGGATGTGCCGGGGGCAGCACGCTGTCACTCGCTGACTCTCGCTGACCTCCTTCTGCCGTGCTCTCGCTGCTGTGGTTTTGCTTTCCGACCCCGATGCGAGGCGGAGGTGCCCGATCAGAGCCGTTCCCAGCTGCGCTGAGCTGGGGGCCAGGGCCAGGGGGCAGGGGCAGGGGTACCTCACTGTTCCACGGGGCGTTTGGCTGGCAGTGCCACAGCTTCCACGTGCCAAGCCCCAGCAGGTGACAGAGCCCGAAGCCACCCAGCACCAGTGCCACTCATTCTGCATGCCGAGCCTGTTTGCAGAGCACAGGCAGCCCATGCATATGGCAGGGCTGTTTGTTTACACACACACATGCCTATAGAAGTGTAAACATATATGTTTATAGTCTTGGAGCCTTCTGAGTGTTGTTCCTGTCTTCATTAGTATGGGAAGCACGTGCAGGAAAAAGGAGAGCAGAGGGTTGGGCTGGCCTGGCCTCAGCGAGCACAGGGGGCCACTGGCTCTGGGTGACAGACAGTGCCCGAGGGACGGTCATCTGCCCTGGCCCAGTGTGGTAACACAAATCCTTGGCCTCGTGGCAGCATTGCCTGTGCCCTGTCATACCCAGGAGCACTGAGCTCTGACCTTTGGGGGGCAAAGTGGCCACAAGCCTGGGCACTGCCTCTGATCAGGGTTTTCAGGTCCCTGAACCCACTGGCTGCTGCATGATCCATTTTCTTTCTCCCTTACCAGGCTTATGATTTTGACTAATTGAGTGTAGATTGAGTCGTCGAGTCTTTAATTTTTTTTATAAAAGATTTCCTTCTGGGTTCAGCAAAGTTCAAACTTAATCTAATGTTAGTATTGATCGTCACTTCTAATTGCAGACAAAAAAGCCATAGTTCAGTGGCCCTTTTGGGGGCTGTTTTGTGACGGAACACCTCCAAGCTGTAAGGTGAGAGCTGTGCCGAGCTGCCAGCTGAGCCTGGCATAGTTTGTCACCGGGAAGGTAAACACCTTAAAACTTGAAAAAAAACGAAACCGTGTCTTTTATAAAGTGATAGCGACTGGGAAGGCTGCCAGTGGGGATGTGATCCCATACCCTTCATTTATGGCACAGCCGAGGACCCCAAGCCAGTGGGGGACTCTGCCCAGGAGTTCCCTGCGGCTGCGGGCAGCGCGTGCGTCCCTGCGCGATGGAGGCGCTGGGCTGGAGAGAAAAGGGGCTCTCCTGGTGAGGGTGGGTCAGTGCTCCTCCTGGGGCGATTTAGGTGGAAGGTGCTTGTCCTCACTGTCATGTGGGGGGATGTACCTTGGGGAAAGCTTCCATTCCGGCTGTCAGGGCTGTTCTGCATTTTGAGGTTCCATGGCTGAGCTGTCAGCTAAAGATGTGTGTGCGCCAATGGGGGGTTGTAGGGCAAGGGTAAGGAGGCTCACTGTACCCCAGTGGCTGCTGGCCAGCCACTGTACCCCAAACTCCAGATTTGTGCCCTCTTTTCCCATTGAAGGACAGAAAAGCAGTGTATCTGCCTGTCTGCTACCAGCAGCACCAGAGTTCAGGGCCAGGGATCGATGCTCCCACAGTCTGAAATGCTCCTGCTTGGGAAAACTGCAGCTTCCCATGGGGATCCAGCCTTTGGCTCTTCCTCTGGCAGCCTCACCTCCCCTCTCTCCACCTGGATTAGTTGAGCGTTGTACTGCTAATGCCATTAGGCACGTTGGCACTGCTCGGCATGTCACAGTGAGAAACAGATGCAGTGTACCATTAAAGCAATAAACGTGATAAATTGGATCCCAAGTGCTTTGTGAGATGTTATTAGTGTTAATTTCAGTAGCCGAATACAGTAGTTGTTTTTTATTTTATTTTAACCATTTGTCAATTTATGTTCCACTGCAGTTTAACTTTTAAAAAAGGAAAAATTGAAAGCAAGCAGGGGAGGGAAGGAAAAGCCAGGGCAGCAGCCCCCCAAACTCTGCCCATGATTACTTCCAGAGTTGGAGGATGACCTGGCAGCTCTTGTTTCTTGCTGATGGGCCTTATTAGCGGCACCTGGCATCATAAGGGGCTAATGGAAACCAGCGCTGCCGCAGCCGGGCCGCGGCGCAGGGCAGCCGGGCGAGGAAGCTCTGATTAGCTTTATGGGCAGGGGGACGTGCCCCGCTCAGGAAATGAATGTTGCAGCTAAGGTCCACTGCGCTGACCCCGAGCGTGTAACCTGTGAGCGCTGGCCGAGACCCCGCGCAGGATGCTTGGGATTTCGGGGGCTCTCTGGTTCTTGTCATGGGCAGAGGGGGAATACAACGTGGTATGTTGCAGCCTTGAACTTTTGATTTATTCAGTGGGTGACTTAACCATTTCCATACTCAGCTCCGAGTGTGGAGGGAGAAAAGCCCCCTTTGGTTTCCACATAATTCCATCCATTATTCTGCATCAGTTTAGTTATGCATGCACTGCATTTGAAAGGGAAACTCTGAGGTTCCCATCAGAAAACACCTATTTCTGTGTATTTTTTGTTTGTTTGTTTGTTTGTTTGTTTGTTTCCCCCTGCCCAGTGAAACTCTGGTTTCTCCTGGCCATGATGCCTGGTGCTTCTGACACCTTGCAGAGGGACATCCAGGGGTGTGATGGGGTCATTGCCTGCTCTCTGCCCCTTCCCCAGCACCACTCCGTTCCCAGGGACCAGGACCCCATTGGC